CAAATTACCACACCTCTCTTTATCATGTTTTTTTGGAACACTGACTGTGAGTGACAAATTATTTTGCAATTAACAAGTGTACACTGATGATTATCATGATTATCTCACAAATAAATACAAATAAAATCAACATTTTATCAACATGATGAAAGGTCAACCTCATAAAATGCTTTCCAAATAATGTCTACCCTGAAAATACTGCATACCAGCCTGTAACTTTAGCCATTAGTCTGCGCCAGATTAGTAAACTTGTCTTTTGAATTAGTATTAATCTTGGCTAAAATAGTTGCTATTAGGTCGAAATAATGCTGATACAACATTAAATGTTAACTCACTCGGGTGTACAACAACATTAAATGTTAACTCACTCGGGTGTACAGAGTAGAAAGATGGCAAATATTTATCACGTAAATGTTTGTAAGCTTGACATACCAGGAGAAAGTGAAACTCATCTTCAATTAAATTTGTGTTACACAATGTGCATATTCTGTCTCTTCTATCAGTGTGATTATATCTACCAGTCTCTATATATACAGGTTGTGAGAGGAACATCTAAATCGTGCTAGTGCAATTCTAATTTTTTTAAACTCAAGTTTACAGAGGTACGCCTCAATTTCAATATTACTTTTCATGATTCTATAATATAAACATTTATTTGATTTGGACATTAATTCTAGCCATTTCTGCAAATACATATCCTTTAGTCTCTGGGTGCAGGACATTAAAAAGAGCTGTTCTGATTCTACATACTGATTATACCACACATAATTAAAATAAATTATGTCAAGAGACAGGTTCAAGCTGGTTGACTCAAAGGTTTTGGCACAGACCCCTCCATTTTTAGAAAATTCAGTGTTTCAAGTCACCTTCAAAAGCCATGGGCCCTACCCAGCTTTGGTCATGATGGTAATATATTTCCTTTTCTCACAGAGTAACATCTGCCTCTAGGGGGTGTCATAGGACAAAGGACAGGCCTGTGAATCACTGACACCATAGTTTTTAACAGCCTGCCGGATGATCCGCTGTTAGTCTCAGTACTTGCTTGCTGTAATCATTGATCTCAGACAATGTCTCTTCCTATGAGTCATCCTGCATGTACCATGTGGACAAAATATCCATTTATGGAACGAAACATCAATTGATCAAAAGTTTCTTCCTTACTGTTTCGTTTAATCTTTACAATACAAATAATAGTTTCTGTGTTTGTCCACCCATGCAAGAAATATAAGGTATTTATTTACCACAGCTGGTCATTTGATAGCTCAAATGATGCAGTTGCCTAACGACAAGACCACGGAGATTTGCATCAGTTGACAGACACCTCCAGGAGAGGAGGAAGCGTTCAACCGGAACAGCATGAGCTCTTTGTCATAGAATGAATGACAATTAATACTTAATTAACTGTAAAAATTGACATGCCAAAAATGGAAACAGCGGATAGATGTCTCCTAAATGGGCTCTGACTCATGAGCTCTCAATCTGAGAAAGGAAATTTGAAACAGTGGGATGTCCTTCAGCAATCGCCATATAAAGGGATTGTGGAGTTACAATAATAATAAACATAATAAAAATAAGTGTGTTTGTACCATGCTATACAAATATACCAACAAAGCTACTGCATTTAGATTATGGACAGAACTATTACAGCTACTATTTTCTGAACAGAAAGGTCTTTAGCTAGCTCTTGAAAGAGTCCTGGGAAGTAGATAGTGAGTGAGACTGTTTTAACGCTGCTCTCAGCAATATTCCATCAATACCAGGGCGACGGACACCAGAAATGGGCTCCACGCATTGTGGTGAGGGAGTGAGTGAGTATGGTTTTACGCCGTTTTAGCAATATTCCAGCAATATCACGGCAGGGGACACCAGAAATGGGCTTCACACATTGTACCCATGTCGGGAATCGAACCCGGGGCTTCAGCGTGACGAGCGAACGCTTTAACCACTGGGCTACCCCCCCCCCCCACACACACACATTGTAACCAAGTGGGGAATCGAACCCAGGTCTTCGGTATGCCAACTGAACACTTTAACCACTAGGCTACCCCAGCCCTCCCGGCAATAGATAGTCTCAGGTTGAGTGTGAACAGAAGCTTTATCTGTTTGATTAAAAACATAAACTAAGTTATTGCAGATATTTATAAGTTGCAAGACATTTTAAGAAATTAGGGTCTTGAGGCTTTATTGTTATATATTTGCTATAGTATCTTATAGGCCAAGCTACTGGTCTATGGGCTCCAAAACCTATTTTTTTCCCCTTACATGCATTTTGAAGTACTGATTGTCACACTATGACCTTCCAGGATTTTGATGACTTGAAGGGACATTATAGTGCAGTTGGGTTCCCAATTTGTAGACAAGGGCAAGACGAAATTAGTCACTTGTTTCAAACTAAGAACGACATTGTCTCTGTGTAATTAACTGATCATGCTGATAGGTTTATACTCATCATAAAATTAGATTTTCATACAACCAAGTGCTCCGTGGTCTAGTGGTAGAGCGTCCACCCGGAGAGCGGAAGGTCCGGGGTTTGATCCTCGGCCGCGCCATACCAAAAGACGTTAAAAGATGGTACTTGTTGTTACCCTGTCTGGCACTCGGCATTAAGGGGCTAAAACAAGGACTGGTCGGCTCGGAGTCAGTATACTGTGTCTGAGTGGGGTATTCATGTTAAACTGCGGCATGGTATCTCAGTGAGCTAGCACTATAAATCGGCATCAGTCCTGGCTAGTACAAGCAGCCACCCACGCATGCATGCACCAAGTGGGTTACAAAACATGGCAGGACTTCATATTGGCCCGAGTCTAGCAGCACTACCCCCTTAACGTGCTTGAGCATAGAATTCACACAAAGAGATATGTACAGACAGTAAATGATCTCAATGCCGGAAATGGCTCCACCCTGTTTTTGTGCTACTAAATGGAGGCATATCATTGCATATGGACAAGACAACTACTCAGATGTAAACTAACATTCTATACTACTGTGAGTAATAACATTAACTTGTGTCAATGACACCATCATAGCAACAAAATGCCCCGATAATTATATCATAAACTGCTGTCCATTAAATCTGAAGTAACACCAGCATCTGTATGAGTGATCTATTAGCCATTCCAGACCTATCCTGCAGCCAGATGTCTACATTCTGGGAAACCTTCCTGTCTAATTTGTGTCTGACAAGGCAACATCCCAAGGGACGGATACACAGGATATGAAGGCAGCAATATGATACAACATCTTTTTCTATGCCATTTCTACATCTAATCACACAAGCTAAAGTATAAGGGTGTTCAGAGAGCTTTTCACATCGGTTCAAAGACATATCTGTAAATCATGGTAAATGGGTATACGAAGCAAGCTAAGTGTATGACTCACTTATCACTGCTTATCATGGTTATGTCAGCTCATTCACAGACTCATAAACTTGATAATGGTAATAATGACGGATAACAACAGATATAAATGATAATTCTGACAGCACAATCAAATTTTACAGTGTCCATATATCATGGTTCAGCTACGTTGGTATTCCAATTTCATTTCTTTCCAGTCATGTGTCAGTCCTCATTTTACTTCTCCTAGGGCTACAATAACCATGATAACATTGAGAGTCATGTTCTACATTTTATACATCACAGTATCTAGCAAAGATTGATAAAGGGTAAAAATATGATTTATTTGACCAAGATATAGCATCAAGACATACAAGAAATACATTGGGTTACCTGGAGAAGGTTACGACCCAGATAAACCTTTTTCTATACTACTCCAGGTAATCCTTTAGGTTTTTTGTAGTGTATAAATACTTAAAAAGAGTTTTAAAATTTATACTTTATTATATTTCCTGATTTGAAACATGCTAAATGCTGGCTACAATAAGAGCCATCATGATGGAAGTAATGCCACTGCAGAACTCACAGCTTGAAATAACAAAACTGGAACTTGTGGAAATTTGATAATCCTTTCACTTTTTATTACCTGTGATTAATGAAGCCTGCACAAAAACTTTTGAGTCTTCTTGCACGAACTTGGCTCTTAGCATAATTTGCAGTACCTTTTATGGTATTATATGGAACTGAGCTTACTAGACCAAAATAATGTTACTAGACTCAGGTATCGGACTAGTGACTGTTTAGTACAAAAGTAACACAAGAAATTTGGAACTATGCAAATTGATCATTTTCGGGTAATTGGTGGCAATATTTGCATTAAATATGCTAAATACTAAGATTGAATGTTATGCAATCATTCAAGCTCAACATGCTATAAAAGATATTCTCTACAACTATAGTCTGTATAAGCCTGAATATAATAACATAATATTTTGTAGCAATTTTTTTTAAACAAAATAAAAGTAATAACAGTTGTCAAACAATATGCAATATTATAATCTGATTGTCAAAACACAGGAATGAAGGCTGGTGACGTCGAAATGTGATGAAGAATTCTAAACTGCATAACAGTAGATCATGGCGATTTACTAAATAATTTAAGTATCAATTTATATAACTATAGGTTTCCTGTCCAGCAATCCTTTATCTATTAACGTGTAACAATGTAATCAAATCACATGATCTGGCGAAAAGAGAACAAACAGAAAATAGCATGTTCACAGCTGAGTTGGTTTAGTGCCTTGGAAGTTTGAAAATATAACTCGCATACATTGAGCACTTGAGGCTAAGAATATCTTACCTAACACTGATCTACTGCCCCTCTCATACCGGCTTTTTGTAATATATCCCTCGCATTCCATGTGCAAAATACGTCATATTCAGTAAGCAGCATACCCTGTACACCTGGACTAGAATCTAAATCAGATACAACCTTAGCCGACAATGACACAAACTCCCCATGTCGCGAACTTCCGACAAACAGATTTATAAACAAGGTGTCAACTAGAAGCCAATGCTTCTTTTCTCAGCTCGTGGCAGCAACTCGGGGGAAACAAATATTTGCATTGACAAACGAATAATTCATCCGTCGACTATAAGACTTACCTCTTCCAGAATAGGTAAAATCCACACATAATGACAGGAAAATCACTACCAGTATCAAAGTGTGCGCCATGGTGCTTCGGCCATTTTCCTATGCTGTCCTCATGTCGCCCCCTATCGGATGAATCGTGAACTAAGTAGCCGGGAGTGCCGATCTTTTGCGGTCTCATGGATGCGCGCTGTGTGTCATTCATGGACTCTCTACATCTGAATATAATGTCATTTTTGTAGCATTACATACAGTATCGTTTTTCTTTTGTTTTACGTTACAAACACATCTAACATAATGCAAAAAAACACGTTGCTATTTTTAATTTATGCACATTATGACATATCCCGCCGTCATGTTTAAATATTGCTGAGTGTGGCGTTAACAACAAAAATACACACATAGGTCTATACACATATCAGAAATATGAAAATGTGGAGGTTATGGCACTTTTGCCGCTTCATCCATTAAAACTATTCACCAGTCTTATTTATTCTTTCTGTCTGAGGTATGGCACAAAAGCAAATGAACCAATGCATTATTTTTTTTAAATTATGACGACTTACTCACTAAGGGACCCGACACTAATATTGGATCGGTCTTGGAGCCAGGATATTTTTTCGGTCATTGTTAACCCGACTATTCTACCCCGGATCTTTACGGGTTGCGTTGCATACACACCTGAGAATGTCCTTTTACACCTAGCATTACTTGAAGGAAAATGAATATTCTCATTCGTGTGTATGTGTGCGTGGGTGTATGTTCGTATGTGTGCGTGCGTGCGTGCGTGCGTGCGTGTGTGTATCGAAAACAGCAGTGGAACTCAACGTAGTGAAATTATGCCATAAAGTGAAATGCTGCCTGATTGTTGATGGATATAGATGTTAAAAGTGTACACTTAACGATTAACTTCTAAGTAATCTTTCAGTGTTATTTAGAAGTTGGTGTGATGAAGTAAGATTAGTTCTATGGATGAACAAATAATTGTAATAAAGAAGTTGTTCATCCATATAACTCGTCTTACTTCACTTAACAATTAAGCGTTCATTAGTGTAACAATTCCCTAAGTACAAATATTTTGATGTGCATAGTGTAAATACACACACCTCGTGGCCTGCGTGTTTATTCATCAAGGTCCTGTGTAAACGTCGCAGCATTGGTCAGGGGTGAGACAAAGGTTGAATGTTTATTGTATGGAACAAAGCTGGTCGTGTATATACCATAAAGTACACCAACACACACCACATGGAGGTGAAGATGGTCATTTAATCCTGTACTTTAGATCGCGTGCGAAATCGGACCCACCGGAAGCGATCGTTAAATCGACAACAATCACCCTCTTCCAAAATCATTCGTGACCAACTCCATTCGTCACCGCTCGCATGTTTCCGTAGTCTACATTCGGCTTGTCACGGAATGGGACGAGTTGGTCACGAATCGTTGTGTTGATCAGTGGGTCAAATAATCAGGTTTCGCTGACAGGTCAAGTACCACATGAAAATACAAGTTGGGTTTTGACCATTTGAGAACAATTCAAAGCGATACGCATGTTTAGTATAATCAATCTAGAGTCTCCCCTAGCCATATATCTATATAGGCAATCAGTCACAAGAGACCCGTGAAGATTCCGGGATAGAATAGGTCTTCAGCAACCCATGCTTGCCGTAAAAGGTGACTATGCTTTTCGTAAAATGCGACTAACGGGATCGGGTGGTCAGGCTCGCTGACTTGGTTGATGCATGTCATCAATCCCAACTGCGTGGATTGATGCTCATGATATTAATCACTGGATTGTCTGGTCCCGACTCGATTATTTACAGACCGCCGTCATATAGCTGGAATATTGCTGAGTGCGGCGTTAAACAACAAACCAATCAACAAGTAACAAGATATATCTCAGCTGACTCTGAAGGGGGATCCCCACCCATGCAAAAACGTGTACTATATATGATATATCCACACACAGACTCCATTGTGTCCGTGAAGATCCGGGTTAAAATAGGTCTTCAGCAACCCATGCTTGTCGTAAGAGGCGACCAATGGGATCGGGTGGTCTGGTTCGCTGACTTGGTGGATGCATGTCATCGTATCCCAGTAGCGTAGATCGGTGCTTATGATGTCAATCACTTCATTGTCTGGTCCATACTCGATTATTTACAGACTTGATTGATGCATGCCATCGTATCCCAATTGCGTGGATCGATGCTCATGATGTCAATCACTAGATTGTCTGGTCCAGACAGACCGCCGTCATATAGCTGGAATATTGCTGAGTGCAGCGCTAAACAACAAACGCATTTTACAAGTCCTCACATGATATCAATATTTTAATGTTGTACTATATTTTAATGCTTGTTCCTATGATACAAATCTGCAATAAAGCTGCACGTGCATCGGGGTTTATCCTATTTTATCACACTTAACGGGTGATTTCTCATTTGGACGTATTCGATGTGATCGATAACATAAGTCGCAAATATATTCACAGGCTATTTGTATTAATATTGCATGTTAACTGACTTTCAAAAGTCCAATTTCCACCCTTGCCGAAGCAGGTTGGAATTCCTTGGCTCGATCGTAGCGCCACCAGTGGCTATTACGATTTATGTCCCTTCTATGCCTCTTCTATAAAACAATCAGATTCCACCTCTCGTATCACCTGCATTTGCTTCAAACAAAATGGCGGCGCCCTGTCAAGACGATCTGATCAATAATCAAGATCTATATTGTGATAAAACGAGTCTTTCTTCGCGACGTGCATCGAATCACATGAGCACCTTGATTAAAAACATGAAACGATTTAGAAAATATCTGTTGACAACGAGTTGGCAGTGCACATCCATTGCAAATCATGCAATCGACCGAAATCTGCATGGCAATTTACGAACCGGATTTCGATTTCGTTGCTCGATTTTGATTGGACTATGCATAGACTCCAGACTATGTTAGTCCAGCCAAAATGTAACTCCATAATACCAGCCTAGTTCGGCAAGAGTGGAAACTAGACTTTTAAAGTCAGTTAACTCCCTTGCCTCGAGAAGATGTTTGGGCAGTGAGTGAGTGAGTGAGTTGGGTTTAACGCCGCTTTTAACATTATTACAGTTATATCACGGCGTGTCAGCTTAATGTGGGAGGAAAGCCCGAAGTGATGCAGGTCTCAGACGTTTACCGCTTCGGTGAAACCCACGAGCACGGGTATGGTGCTGACAAACCTAGAAACATAATCGGGGCGAACCGAGATTCGAACCCACAATCATAGGTTTCTGGCGTGCCCAAGGGACGCAACTCTGCACATCGAATCGCGGCGCTCTAGACGACTGGGCTACCCGTGCCCCCGTTGGGCAGACAGAAGCAAATTTGTAACCTTATTGAAAAAATACAAGAGTATAAATACCATCCCTAGATCAAGTCTCACCATCACTTTGAGGTGGAGTTAGCGGACACAATGGAAGATACCTTTCGAGGAGAGTTCTTGAAACGAAGATTATCTGATACCAAATCTGTACTGCGAAAAAAAGAGATGTTCCTACTGTTGGAAGAAGTAAAAGTTGCATCAGCTGCTGAAAAAAGGTCCAATCGTCAACACTACATTCTCAAAATAGATCAAAATCTCCAATGTGGTGACTTTGAGAAACAAGATCACTACTTTACACATGTAGAAAATATAGCGACAAAACCCTTTCCATAGCAAATAGAAATAGAGTCGATTGTACGATTCCGACTACATCATAAGCATGTGTTAATGAATCCCTATCAAATACCAATGATACCAAGTGTTCGGGAAAAGGTGAGCGTATCCTGCCCCACTGGTGGCACCCGTCACAAACACATGCAAAGGCATGTCAATTGTCCACCAAAGGCTGGAGCTGCTGGAATATTGATCGACATGAAGGGAAAGTTGACTTCTGGAAAGTTGAAGTCATCCCTCTTGTCTTGTTGAGGGTGTAAAATGACTGAAATTTCTGAGAGAATCAGTCTTTATACAAAATGACTGATTTTACACATTGACTGTAACATGTATATGGGACATCCTTGTAACGGAGCGGCCGCCAAGCGAATCCTCCCTTGCTGGAATGTCAAATGTAATTACTTGATACAGGATAACCTTTGATTTACACATATTTTGTCTAATTTCAATTGGGATGAAAATGTCAAGCTACGGCCATTTGACCCCATTACACAAATAGAAAATACCTCTATTTAAGTTTTATTTTCAACAATGTGGTCGTTCTGGAATTGCAACACTCGCACACACTCGCACACACACGCACACATACGCACGCACACACACGTTCACACACACACGAATGAAAATATTCATCTTCCTCCAAGTAATACAAGGACTATCTCAAGTCTGTATGCAACGCATATCTGATCTTGGTGCTTAATGTAAATCTCAGGATTTGAGAAGAATGTGTTTATTTCACTAGCTTGATGCCGATAATTATATTATATATATATTCCCGCTATATTCCTCGCTTAAAATGAACTGTATACATGGCATTGTTTCGGAAATAACCACATTAATTAAAGATGCGAGTGATGTATGTTATCACAAGTCAGGTGATATACAGGCGGCAACAGGTGTTTCTCAGACAGGCAACACGACAGGTGTGTGTCCCATCCTTAGCCATACAGCCCCTGAAACAAATATATCGAATACAGCCCATGAAAGTCTATAATGTTTGGCAAGTCTAGATTACTGCAGTATCTCTGGGCTCTTTTATACTTTTATTAAGATAATTTAACCACTGTCTTTTTCTCTAAGTTATGATAATTTCAGAGACAAGATGTTAGTCTATTCCACCCTTTGTACATTAAACCTCTGAAGCTTTAGAGCGATATGCTATAGGATTTTTATGATCTGCTTCCTTGTACTGAAATAAAGCATTGTTCTGGAATCTATTTGTAATTTATTTCCTATCTTGTAGACATATATTTTTAAATAAGATAACTTTATTTCTGGGACTAAATGTTAGCTCCAGAATTTGTTTATATTCCATCTGAAGTATATAGAACTACAACTAACAGATCTTCCATCTAACTAACTGCAGTTACCATGGTGAAGTTAGCCTTGCGCCATGGCTGTACTGAAAGAAAAGTCCATGGATGTGTAGTACTTA